TAGAAGGCTGAGTTCATGTTTAAGCAGGGAGTTTGCCTTCACCATTAGCCAATCAGCGCAGACAGCTTAGGGGCTGGGTGACGTCAACTCCTTTATCCGTCCCACGGATCCGTCCACTGATTAAACAGACAGTCTGCGCGTTTTTAAAGGGGACGTCTTTCACAGAAAGTGGAGAAAAATAACGTTATAATAAGTTATAATTTGGAAACAATTGGGTCCATAGGAATAATTACTGCATATAACATTTAAGTATAACATAGAAAAGCACTAAAACAGGATAGAAAACCCTGATTATTTCGACATGAAAATCGAATATGAGATTAATAGTCATAACTACTGTATTTGAAATGTAGTTGAACTTATGATTCATGTGTTATAGTAATTATGGTTATATTATTACTAAGTTACTCAGTAATTTAAATAATATAAATACAAAAAAAGATATAAAAAAGGTCGAAATCGTTTTGTACCACCTGATCTTGTTCATGGTTATGGGGGAGGGGATAGACAATCTCAACAGTTAAGATAATGCGGTCAAAATTCAATAATTACGAGATAATTTATGCTAACCTGTGTAATGTAAAATCATATTTAAGACAATATAAAATCTAAATTATGATATAATACTGCATATATAACATCTATAACGAAAGAAGTGTCATAATGTTGTTGGCTTAGAAACATGGCAACACAAAGGAAACACCAGGATTCTCCTTTGTTTCAAGATTTGTTTCATGCTAAGTGAGTAACACTTTAGTATTAAACATTTATGATTTGTAACTAAAGGAGCAGGAATTAGAGCAGTTTAAAAGTTAGTAGTCAACCAGGACTTTTCTATAGCCCAGATTAATTCTAGGAAAAGAGATAGTTGGGAAGAGAGGCATTACATAGGGCAAAGACTTTTTTTCCTTTTTTGGAAGGACTGGATTTAGTCTGACCCTATGCGTGAGTGAGTAAGGTAAAATATTATTTCTACGTAAACAAAAATGACAGTTCAGGATACACAAAAATGGAAATCAAAAGTAACGTATCAGTAATCGTCAGTGTTTCAAGATCTATATTTTGAAGATATAGCTGCGAACATTATTACCAATCACACTGCCACGTTTTGAAAGCGAGGTGAATAAAAGGCTATGATAACAATGTAATTGATATTTGGCTCAAGTTTCCTTTGTTTGATTAAAAGCATTAACGTTGGTACGCGAGTCCCCAAATGAATGGAGCTGATAGAAGAAAGTTAGAATGCACACACTGACTCCTTGTGGTAAAAATGTCTAACTGCAACCAATTGAGAAAAAGTAATTGCGTGATGGTTATGTACTTTGTGCATAAAATCTATGCCATCCACAATCAGTCAATAAGGAGACTCAGTTATCTGTGTGTCAGAAAATGTCAAGTAAGAGAAACAACACAGTTCATGAAAATCTACTTTTATTTGGATGCAAAAAACCCACAACTTAAAGCAATACTGTAGCACAGGAGGGAAATACTGATTGCTGGTTGGTTGAATGTTTGACTTAAATGTCATCATCTCCATTGTGATTCATGGAAGGATCAGGTGAGCACTGAAAACAAGCTCTCATAAAAAGCCTTAGCGTCAAGAACAATGGACATTATCAGATTTCCAACATCTGACAAACTAGCTTTTGGTCTTAATGTTTGTCTTGTCTGCTCACAGAAACGAATACTATGGCAGTCCAATTTGCTTCATGATGTGCTGCTTTAGAATGAGCCCACAGTGATGTCATCGTCTGATGATGTTCATGATCATTAACCTGATGTATTAAGTCAAGATAGAAATGTTTTTTTTCTTGTTTTTAATTAATAATAAAAATGATCGTCACTGTTTTAGCTGCCTTACATATAGCAATAATTTCTTGTGTTGTTTACCGAGAGTGGCCCATATTCACTAGTGGGCTTAATTTGATGTAAAAATGTATTCTGAGGTACAATTATCCCAGAAAACGATTCAAAACACAGAGAGCAAAGCATATTAAAGCAAAGGTTATCAGCATAAAGTAATAATACTGAAGACTGAACTACTTATTCTTAATACTGTAAGGTAATTTAGGTACGTGTCACATTTTGTTCTGTCAAATCTTGCAATATAAACTGATGGTTTATTCCACAGTATTAGCTACATTCCATCATGGTGTAAACGGAAATATACACAAGGCATCTACTTGAAAGGATTGTATCAAAATGTTCTAAAAATATCTCTGGTTGGTTTCACAAAAGCAAACTGTATCAAAAGCATTGGCCGAGAGCGAGCAATAGAACAAGCTAAGAAGCCTTTTACACAACAGAAAGCAGGACAACCAGTTACGTCATTTTGATTGTGGACCTATGGAGTCCCAAACAGCACATGCAATCCATTAAACTCAACACAATCAAAAACACAGTACGGATAAGAAAAATAACTTTTACAGCTGAACGTCTGAAATACAACCTCAGTTAGTCTATTGTGCTTCATACAGATTAGGTCTGGCCTGTCTATACAACGATCATAGGGTTCTTACATCATGGATAATCTCAAGCTATGTTTGAGAGCAGAGGTGTCAAAGAGCATGTGACTGTGAGGAAGCATCATGATATTAATGGGACATGTAGAAAAGAAGGAGCCATAAGTGTGTCTTTTTCCCCTCTATGTGGTACAGTTGGCTGTGTATATACAGGTTCTTTCCTGACGGTCTAATTTTATTTCTTTCCTCTGGTCTCTGAGTGTCACTGACTCTGTGACGCCTCTGGATGTACGTACGACTATTTTTCTTTTTATGTATGAATTTGTTGTTGACTGTTACCATCATGGGCCATGAGGACTGCACAGATTGAGCGATAGAACTGTGATGACTCGCACAGAGATTCCGATGAGTTAGTATTGTAATAGTACTACATTCCTTTGTTCCGTTACATTGCACATGCTTTGATGAACACATAGCACCATGCAACCTGAAGATGTGGAGGCTCCTGAAAGCAAGTTAACACAGACCTTCTGTAATAGATGCAGTAAAAGAGAAATTCACAAAAAATATATAATAGGATTTCAATTTTTTTTAATATTCATATATCATTATTGGATTTAATTTTAATAGAATTATGCTGGCACTTTTATGTGAAAGGTTAGTAATTATAACACTAGGTATTGTATGGGAGTCTTACTGTACTTCGATTTCTTCATTACTTTAACCTTTTCAATTACTGCACATACAGTACAATATACGAGAGGTTATAGGACCAAGTACTAAAACAGGGCCTTGATGAATGAAATAATGGGTGGAGCTTGACTTTTGCGACTCTCCAGGGCAGCATGGATCAATAACACTAAGGTGTGATGAAGTTTCTACCTCAAATCCCCTTTTTTTCAATTAAATTCTCTTCTACTGAAAGATAACCATCCAGCACGCATTTCAGCCGCTCGTTCATCTCTGAGAATTTTTGTCATGGATAAATTAAACCACGTGGTTGGGACTTGTTAAAGGGTGAGATTGAGATGACGCTATAGGTACAGTGGTGCATACCACCAGAGGTGGTACATTGTACAGTGGTGTGTCTCGATCTGGCTGTAGCATTCTACTATTCTTCAGCAGTGTGAGACAGCTGCTTTTCATACAGGCTGAGGACATGGTGCACAAACTGGTACTGCTCACAAGTCTGGATCATCCCACCACTGAAACAAACAGGCACACAAAGGCAAAGGCACGCAAAAATACTTAGATTCTTTCAAAATGAGCTTCTGATACTTCTGAAAAGGTAATCATGAAGCAGAAAAACACAACAATGAGCGTAAATATGTATGATTTTTTTTTTTTGAAGTAACACCCTATATTAAATGTACAATTTTAACCTGCAGGGGCCAACCCTGTGTTTTTCCTTTCTTTTAAAAGTAATTGGGATTTTCTGGATATAAATATGTACTAGTAAAAAAAGACCCTGTAGGTGGCAGCATTGGAACTTAAACGGAGCAGTGAGCCACAGGATTGTTAATAAAATGTATGGTGTGAAATAAAATGGTATTCAAATAGTTTTTTTCTTTTGTTTTTAAGAGGGCGGGGCATCATTTTATATTTTAGCCAAGCAGCCATGTCAATACTATTGTCACTTCTTGGTAATTCATAATTCACTCAGGATTTATTTGTCCTAAGTTGCATTTCTTATATCAAATGGAAAATCAATAGTATCCAACGTAATACTTGTGCTTATGGAGTATAAATATAGGATTAGATTCAGTGCTTAATATGTGAAGAGGGAGGTCCTGGAACAGAAGAGAACGGGTGGTTCTGGATTTTGTTATTTTTTATTTTTTTAATTGTGACACGGAGATGTCAGATCCTGTTTCTGCAGAATCTAGCTTAAATTAAACTATAATTTATTTATTATTATTTATTATATTATTTATTTATTTATATTCAACTGATTTGCACAAACACGATCACTTTTCCAACAGTAGAGCTGGATTCACCTTAGAGAAAAAGATTCACTTTACTCCTTATAAGGCTCACTTTAGGTTAACTTGGTGGATTTAAAATGTTAAAGATGGGCTGAATGCAAAGGCCCAACATTTTACACTCTTCACTCACTTCTCTCATAGCCACTTGGAGTCCAGTTTCACATACTTTTTTATGCGCAGAGATTCTTTTGAGCTGATATTAGATACTGTGAACTGAATCAACTCTAAGGCCAAAGACAGACGCAAATACAAGCTAACAATATCTCACCGGTCCAGACGGAGCTGGCAGGTGGTTCTCAGGATGTCCACCACACCCTCGGTTCTCAGCTGCTTACACAGGATAGAGGTGGCAATGAAGCAGCCAGTCCTACCGATACCAGCACTGGAAGGTGGAAGTGGAAGAGGGAGAAGCAGAGGGAAACACATTTTTATTGATTAGTGCTTATTTTAACTAAATTCTTTGTCAAATTCTCAGTTTGGAGATGATTGTTGCAAATGCAGTCTGCAGAAAATATGCCAACAAGAGACAGCAAGACAGCGATGAGAAAAAAAAAAATCTAAATTACAAATAAATTACTGTTATTCATAAACTTGTTTGACCAACAGGCTCAATACACTCAGGGACTTGAGTGTACCCGACAGGAGAGCTAACCTCAAAATGCCTGAGGCAATAAAAAAAAAAACCTAACAGGGTTGCTCAAATCAAAGGAAATACAATTTTATAATAATAAAAAGTTATATTGACTGGAATGATATTTGGGCAGGCAAACACCCTGTAAATATATAATCAGCAGTTATTCAGATCAGTGACTTTTCTTTTCGTAACATTATTCTTTTGAGAAGTTGGGCATTAAGCCATTTTTGAATAAAATCCTAAAATAATTTAAAAGAAATAACTCCAGTCATTTTATACAGGCAGTAGATTTCTGTTATTTTTATTGGGGATATTTATCAATTACTAGCAAATCAAATCTTGCCTGCAATCAACAACCTGCTTTGATTAACTGATATAGGGCTCATTACATGCACTTGTTAAACTCAGTGGGATGTCCTTCAAGCTAAAAGCTTACTGTACGGGTTGTGAAAACGTGTTGAGCTTGTTATAGGCTAAGTTTTATAAGATTATACTTCAATAGGATTACATATGAATATATTATTTTAAACCACTAAACTTGTCTTAAAGTGTTGGGGCCCAAAAACCGTTGATGCAGAGGGAGGAAAACAATCTACTGTACATATAAAGGGTTAATGAAGTGTGATTTAAAATATAAAAAATAAATACACAGCCGGCTGGCTTTGTACCAAAACCAAGTCTTTCACCTGCAGTGGACAATTATGGGGCCACTGAATGGTGGGGCCACTGCTCGGGCTCTCTCCACTTCTTGTACCAGTTCCAGCAGGGGCGGAGCTTTGTCTGGAGTCTTTTGGTCGGGCCATGAGGTGTACCAGTACTGGCACAAGCTGCGCTCCTCCTCCTCGTACTAGTATAAAGACACATTCATATGCATACAAATTGACAGAAGGATTAAAAAAAGAAAAAAAACATTGGTGTAAAATGTAGCCGGCCACTCCAAGTCAGGCCCTTGATTTCAACATCAGTGTATGAGTTAGCCTTATTTTAATCACTATAAAGTCTGCTGTGTCCCCCATCCATCAGACCTGCTCTATCTTCCCAGTCCCACCCATGGATTGATGCAGATCAACATCAGCTGCCGTTCTCCCCACTTGACCACTTTCCAGTCCCTGTTGTCTTCCTTCTCATCCAGAGTCACTGCTGCGATGAAGGCTTTCTACAATGACAAAACTCATCATGCTGCTGACACTGGAAACTGTTCTCAATCTTTTAAAAGCTCAACCCTAATCAAGCCTCTGCCTCCACCACTCACTACCACCCTGACAGCAGACAATTTTGCCTAATTTTTTACAGACAAAATGGCAACTATCAGCAGTCAGTT